TTCTTTTTATGTTTTTCTTTGGTACAAATTCGTTTCTCCATGCTTGATCTGAAGGTAACGATTGTAGAATATTATTATACAATATGAATCAATTTGTCAATAATGGGTTTATGTGTATCGGTTGTTAATTTGTTTAGATACTGGTCCCTGGCAATTTGGTATTTACCTTACTGAATATTGCAACATTAGGTAAACTTTGACATATTACTAATTAATAATTATTGCTTCGAATTAATTTAACATCAGAAATTGTGTACCAACTCGTAATCTATTAACAACTCTCGCGGCAGGTGTTTATAAAGCAATTTTTAGTAATAAGGAGTATTTATAGTACATAACGCGTGAGCATAATTTTCAGCTTGCTCATTAATCTCATAAAATAAGAGAAGAACTATTTCAAAATTTCATTGAAAAGCGAAACATACGAATATACTTGTGTATTATTTATCTTTGGTTGATTCGTCTTCCGTTGCTTGGATTCGTAATATTAAAAATAATGCTTAGATTCATTAATCACAATTACAAATGATTATACCTTCCATGCTGTACAAATTAAACAGATTTTTGGCCAATGGACCTCTGAAAATATTCTTTGAAATGTTTCTACAGTGATCGAACCTAAAATTAACCAATTCATTGCAGATATCATTTCAGTAAAATTGAAAGCACTGTGCGCCAGGTCTCAAAAATTCACAGTAAATCATTTCTTTACCATCGTGTAAAGAATTTTGTATATTTCGTAACAGACAGGAAATGAAAGAAAATAATTTTAAAAAAGAAAGAAAAAATTCTCCAAAATGTTTCTACAGTGATCGAACCCAAAATTAACCAATTCATTGCAGATATCATTTCAGTAAAATTGAAAGCACTGTGCGCCAGGTCTCATAAATTCACAGTAAATCATTTCTTTACCGTCATTCTGTACATTTCTTAACAGACATAAACTGAAAGAAGATAACAAACAATTCCCCGAAATGTCTCTCCAACGATCAAACCCAAAAATTAACCAATTCATTACAGATATCATTCGAGGGAAAAATCGAGAGAGACACTCCGCGACGGTCTTTGTACCCTGAAACAACCTCTAATAAATTGACATCCCTCGCTTTTTCTTACTTAAACATTTATCTTCTCCTTCACCCCTATCAATCTGTCGGATTATCTGCGAAGTAGAGTCACTTACCGAGTGAATACTACGCGGGGGCGGTCGACGATAATCGGTTAGTTGGAAAATTATTGATTGAGAGGGATAATAAATCGACGACATAGAGTGATATACTTACTAGTAGCGCCGACAGCCGGTCCGATGACCGAGTAGTTGGGGTTACCGGTAACGGCCCCTGGGATGACCTTGTCCGGCTCTGAAATACATTATTGTAATTATCCTCGGAATATACAGTGCCGTTAATTACAGTTGGGAGTCGCGTGTGCGAATGGAACATGGCCAATCTACCTTAGCAAACGGTCCCCATTCATGATTTATTACCTCATAAATAGCCAGTCTGCGCAAACTATCCTTATTCCACCTGGCAATTTCGTTTGCGACACAATCCCCGGAAAACCTTCGTTTTTACCGTTCGATCATCCCCCCGAAAATCTGTATCAATCGAACCTTGCACGAGATCTCTGTTAATTTAACTAAGAGAACGACATAGATATTCACTGTTAATTAATTGGACCACGATTAACAAGCTAGTAACGCGTAAGGAGATTGAACCAGCAATGGATATTGTTATCGAATGCGATAACATATCGAATTTATGCGAACTGCTGGCTTGATAAGGTGTTTCGAGGATGAGTTGTCGCTGTGCTTGGTTGGTACGATTCGAGAAGTTTTAAAGGAATTATCCGGAGGGCAGGCGAGTGTCTGGTGGATAAATGGAAAAGTAAAGGGTTGCTCCAGCTGAAGCTCTCGTTTTACGGTATGTTGGAAAGCTGCGGAGTCTGTTTTACCGACGGAACAGACATAAGGGTGGAAAGCTTCCTGCAAGCTCTGTTTCGAAGCGCTATCGTATCTGTTCTGAGCGACGCTCTGCGTGGAGCTTGCAAAATGATTTCGCGAACCTGCGATACCGACGAAAGAATCTGCAGAGGGAAGCGAGCTTCGAAATGAGCTTTAACGTCGAACGAAATCCACTTATCTGATAATTTATCGCTGCAATCGTGTTTTCTAAGCGGAGAGTGCCGCGAAATTTGCTTGAAAATCACTAAATCTGTTAAATATACAGAGTGCGACACGTAAAACAGTTCTTCAAATTTTCAAGTTTTGTATTTTGCTGGAATCGTGTTTTCTACGCGGAGAGTGCCGTGAAAATTTGCTTGAAAATCACTAAATCTGTTAAATATACACAGTGGGATATGTAAAACAGTTCTTCAAATTTCATATTTTTAATTTCCGTTTTGCAAAAAAATTCTGCATTTTCAGCGCGCTGCGTTAATTATCAAACTGTTTACTCTGCATCGCTGCATATTTTCTCGAAAAGCTTGAAATTTGAAGATTCTCGCGACCAAGAAATAACATTTTTCCGTTCGTCATTTGAATACCAAGGCGGTACTCGAGTTTTCTCGAGTCGAAGTCCGAGACGTTCCCCGGTCGACAGACACGGAATCATCGCGGAATGGCGGAAGCGAAGGGACGCGCGCGGAGCGAGCGTCGGTTAAGCCGCGGAAATTGACGCGTGAAAAATGGACAATCCGTTGAAGTGGGTGGAAACTCGAGAGACGTGGTTGTAATTCCAGCGACACGAAGTTACCGAATAATTCCTCAGGACTTCGATTACCGTCCACGGTGGTTCCTCGCTATTTAACGAAGGGGACCCGAGGAGATAGGACGGGAAATGGAGGTGAAATTGGTGAAAGAGGATGGGTCGGAGGTCGGTGGATTTTCATAATACCGTGGAATAGTTGTTGTTTCGTTGCTCACCAGAATGCGGCGCATCGTCCAATGGTTGAAATTGGAACGTCGCCTTGAAACCCTGCCCCGGCCACTTGGAATTAGCGACGAACTCGACATACAGGTCTGACCCTGTGCTGAGTACTTCCACTTTCGCTCCTTGGTTGCACAGCACGGCTATTGTGGGCGCCCCTGAATCCGTCCCGTCGTGCACTCTGATTAAATCCGCTCTGTTCAAGCAACTGTAACAGAATTCCTTTCGTTAACGGCAACTTATCGGTATATTACCCCGTGTTGAGAGTAAGTGGACAGGAAGCCGGGTGATTCGTGATGTATAATCGATGGAAGAAACACGGCGCGGTAGGAAAATCGTGGTAAAATTGAGACGACGTTGATTCCTCGTGTAGAAGTAAATATGTATCGAATACTGAAATTTGAGGGTAGAATTGAAATTTTAGAATTTTAATGTTTAAATTTGAAAAGCCTGAGTTTGAGCCTGAATATTTAAATTTGAGTGGATTGAATTTAATTTGAGAAGCAAGGAAGAATTGAAATTTTAGAATTTGAACAGCTTGAATCTGAATATTCAAATTTGAATAGCTCGAATTTGGTCTGAGCTTGAGTCTGAACATTTAAATTTGAATATCTTAAATTTCAAGAATTTGAATTTCAGATTCTGAATATTTAAATTTGATCCGAGCCTAAGTCTGAGTATTCAAATTTGAATAGCTTGAATTCAATTTAAGAATCAAAGAAGAATTTAAATTTTACAATCTGAATGTTTCAATTTGAATAGCTCGAATTTGATCCGAGCTGGAATCAAAATATTTAAATTTGAATAGCTCGAATTTGATCCGAGCTGGAATCAAAATATTTAAATTTGAATAGCTCGAATTTGATCCGAGCTGGAATCAAAATATTTAAATTTGAACAGCTCGAATTTAAATTGTGCTCAATTTAACTGCATTAGTCAAATTCAAATTTTGAATTTGAATAATAAATAATTTGAACTTGAAGTAATAAAAGCTGAACCGAAATGCAGATGAAAACGAGGACCATTCTAAAAATTTAAAGGACAACAGAGTCTGCGTAGGCAAGCTGAATACATCATACTACTTTGACTGACGATTCATATTCGTATCTCCTCGTATTTCCGTCCAATCCCTTGTCAGAACACCGGAAACGACCGATTCCACGAGTCCGCTATATTTGTTCCACCAACTATACCCGATCTGTCCACGCGAGAAATCAGAAATCGGTGAGAACCACTTCGTCGAAATAATCGTTCGTCAGAAATTTTCTTATTACCACAGAACCTCGTTATCTTCCATTCTGTCGTCGTTTTTTGGCCGATTCGGCAGAAACGGAGTCGCTTCTACGTTGTCGATTGTCGAATCACGGCATTAACGAGAATCGCGCGGTTTGCTTTATTTGTCCCCGTTGCTTTTGAATATTTGCAATCGAGGGTAATTCGAAGAATACGGGAATGGTGGGGCTGATCGGTAAAACCCGGTCGTTATGTAAATTCGAAAGTTTCTCATGAGTATCGCGATCGCTGGGAGTTGGGAATAAAAACGAATAAACGATCCTTTCTGATGTGTCCTGTTATACCGATGCATCCACGAACGTGCAACGTTTCGGACGAAAAAACCGTGCAATCGCGGGAGTTTTTATGAAGATAAAAGTTTTTATACGAGCGCAGTGAAAAATCCCCAAGTTTTGCATGCGCCGTGAAATGAAACGGAGCGCGAGCAATATTTGTCCCGTATTTCTTGGGTTATTTTGCTTTTTAATCAAATATTCGTGTCGCGATTTGCCAGAATGTGTACATTTGTCGGATAGAAATACAAATTACAGGTTTTATCGTGCTAAGAATGTTCATCGGACAGATTTACAACGAATTAATTATCGATACTGAAACGGTGCGAATGAGAGTACAATTTTTTAATCCTTTTGTTCAAGTTTTAAATAAAATTTAATTGACGAAGTGTAATATTATATCCTTCGTTTTTGAAAATATGCAATGAAGTTATCAAAACCAAGCTCATTACGTCGAAATATTTTCACTTAAATATGGGCAGATTTAAAAAATGAAAGAATTCTGAAAGGTGCTTCAGTGAAGCTTTTACACCGAAAATGACACCTTCCACTCTCGAATAAATTAACAAAAATAATCACAAACTTGCTAGTTCTTCTGTGAAAATTACACCAGTGTCACCTGAAATTTCTCAAGTATAATAAAACCAGCCGAACAAAAATGAACGATCGGGTAAAGTCAGGGAGCTGCACAGCTCGCCAGAGGGAAATCGTTAATCCGTTTAACGTTCCCGAGCGAGACGGGGTTCCGGTTAAAGAGGAGAATGAAAATTGAAACACGTGTAAAAATGTTCGCGCGGTTTCGCGCAACTCGAGAACTCCACGGCCGATTCTTACCTCGAGTACACTCTGCGCTATACACGTTCCTCGAGGTCTGTCTCCCTCTCTTTTTGTGCGAAGGTGAGATAACTTTGCTTCGAGTGACTCGCTTCGTTGCGAGATTTCCCGAAAAAAAGAAGGATGTACGAACCGAGACTACGAGGAGGCAGAAATGCCGAAGGTGAAAAATACGAGAGAGAGAGAAACGGGGTTAAAGGTGAAACTGGAAAGATACTTGCAGTGACAAAGCGAAGGTTGGTGAAAAGGAGGAACGCCAGCAGAGACTGGGAAACGAGGATGAAATAAAGGCGGAAAAAGAAGGAAATACGGAAGAAGGATGTTCTTCTATCAATAGTCGGTGATTCTCTTTATGGGTGTACGCGAACTACTTTGCCCAATCGAACGGAAGAGAATTACACTTGGTGGTAACAGGATCGGCCCTTTCAAGAGCGTTAAATCAACGGTGGATCGATGATTCGATCGATTTAAGTGCTTGATCGATGACGACTGTGGAATAATCTTGTTACTTGCACCGTTTAAGCAATTAAGAAGAGTCTGGAGATTGAAGAGTTTGTCCTTTTTTTTTGGTTATTGTTAGAGATCTTCTTTCAACCATTTTCGAGTATATGAAACGGGGATGCGTGGCTGAATCTTTTGTAACGATGAAATATTTCTCCTGGAATAATGTTTAATCGAATAGTCGTCGACGAAGGGTTCCTCCGTGGTCGTAATTTATACGCCATTTGTTCTGAATGGAAAACAAATTTTGTTGAAAGAACAGTTCGTGGGATAAGGACGGTAAACGACGTATTCAGTATTTCAGTTTATGATAGATGCACAGACAATAGTTAC